CTGCACCCCTAATCAGAGTCGCACGCCAAGCAGGCTTCCAGTCACGTGATGCGGAAATTGATGCAGAAGAAAGTGCGCGCGTCCAACGCGGGGCACATGGAGGTGATGGCCATGACTATGTAGACTATGGGGCCCACACAGGCCACCATGGTGCTTATGGATGGTACGCTGACTTCCCTGTCATCAAGGGACACTAGAATCCTAGAGGTCACTAAAATTGTTTGCTTCTAAAACTATTTATAATTGTTATTTTGTATTGTTTAATTTTTGTTGAAAAATACACTTCCCTGTTGTTTACACTGTTTTTAATTATTCTTTAAAACTCTGCACCAGCAATTTCATTAACTGGCTCAATAATCTCCTACTCAAAATGAAGCCCTGAACCTAGACTCGTAGAATCTATGGGTGGAGGCATAACATAGAAATTCACATGCTAAAGGTAACGCTGTTGCTAATGATAAAATAATAGAGAACAGAACAAAACTGCATTGTTCTACATTTTAGCAAATAATGTAACAGAACAAAAAGTCAAAACAGAATACTAACCACATGGACGACAGGATTTTCATTCCGGAAGGGAAGGGGGAGTTTTACATGGGGAACAACCAGGCAATGTATTAACGTGTAAACCATTTATGACTGCGCAGAAAACAGATTTTTACAAACGTTTTCAATTATTAATTTAATATGTAGCATATTTGCTTCTCTTTTCAATTCTACTATTTTCCAAAAATCCAACAACAGACAGATCCCTGGCTTGCACCCACTGCCGCTGCCCATGCTTACGACCATAAAAAGAGCATAAATATCGTGTCAGTTACTTCATTCCATCACACCGCCATTCTCAAAACTCATCATCACTTGTTGCCTGTGACTTCCAGTCACCCAACGATACGGTTGAATTGCACCAAGCTCGAACAGCAGTACAGTTACACACAGCATACCCCATACTGGTTTCAGTTTGATTATATTTATTGTAATTTATTAGTATACAAACACCTTACAGTTAATTCACATCGTAATTATCAAAGGACTACACGATTGTAACAAGTGCACGTCCTCCAACCCTGAACGAAGTCAGGACTGCCTTCTGTCTATAGGTTCGTCAGTTACGGTAACATGCTGAGATGAATTTTACACGTGTCCATTCTCGGCACGGAAATGCGTCCAACTCGAACTCATTAAAGTAGGGGAAACTCGTTGGGACCAGGCTGGAAATCACTGTTAGACATGGGAAAGCGTCTCTAAATCTGTCTCTCTCTACCAGTGGGATCTGACTGCTGACTAGTTGGGACATACGATCTCGAAAATAATTGTTGCACAAAATCTTTCCTGCATTGTAAGCACACGCTTCTCATTAATGCTGCACTATAATCGTATTTATGCTAAGAAGTACATTGCTTTTATATAATTATATCAATAAAATATTGTCAATAATTGTTACTATCTTTAGTTCTTAAGAAATTTCATTAATGCCTGCTATATATATTAAGACACTGTAAAAATATATTTCTTGCAAAACAGAAGTTCTGTCTTTAATATGCTGGGAGTATGACTTTTTAACAAAATGCCCGGTAAGAGGCAAGATGCAAAAGGTTGAGAATCACTTGTCTACATAGTTTATTCAATTCTTTTTGCTGTATCTATTTACAGTGACTTAAGACATCATAATTATCGTTCACTACCACGATACATTTAGGAACGAATTCCCAAACTTGTATTGCAGTACTATGCTTCATAATGTGAGTTGTCATTCCTTGGGCTTTTATACTGGAGTATCTACCTACTTTCAATCCAAAACAACTGTAACTGCACTTCCGCCTCACTCACCTCACTCCAATCACAGAGTTGGGTTAAGTTGGACGTAGCTGCTCTAAATAAGTCGTATAACAATTACTTCGAAGTATTGGGTTCCAGCTCACATCGGTGAATAGAAGATCTTTCACAGGGTCGTTAAGAGGGCCTTGGCTCCAACAACAGAGTCCACAAACCAAAGACAAGAATCGCACAAACATTTGACACTTTATTATAATGCACAAATTACATAGTTGAATTATATCTGAAAGTTTTATTGAGTACAGCCCTTTATGGGCGACGTGTGATGCACGTCTCACTTGTAGATTCTAAATGGTTCTGACGATGGTGGATGACACACAGAATTACTGGGGTTTTGGACTTTTTCCATCGTCTGGAATTTTAGGTAATAGAGGACGCGTTTCGGAAACTGGATCTGTTTCCGTCTTCAGGTGAGAAAGGATTGAGATTAGCTCTTTCTAAGCTCGCTGGCTGGGCGAGACTGATGGCAAGCACCAGTACCGGTAGAAATCATAGAGGGAAGCACAATGGACCAATATAGGTCTCAGTGCATGGGGAAACCCACCCTCTCCGATAACTAACTACTCCATGGAGCAGCATTCTGCTTGAGAAGTTACTAGTTGGTTGACTCATCAAGGAATTAACAGCATTTCATGGAACCCAAAGGTTTATTACTGTGTTAACAAGCTGCTGCTGAAGAAAGCAGTCTTCTGGGATTTGGCACCGTGTATATGTGGTGTTATCCAACGTTTCGGAGGAACGTATCGCCTCCATCTTCAGGGTAGAAGAAAAAATATATAAGAAATCTGCAAGCAAAGAGACCGTGAGAACCGGTAAAAGCAGACTACGTTCCTCCGAAACGTCGGTTAACACCACATATACACGGTGCCAAATCCCAGAAGACTGCTTTCTTCACAGTCACCGCCGCGAAAGCCTTAAATCTTACAAGCTGCTGCTGGTCCGAATTCTGAACCAGATTAATTCAGTCCACAACCTCCCATCATATTTAAGATGCATTTCAACATTATCCTCCTATATATGGCTTGTTCTTGCTAGTGGTCTCTTCTCTTCAATTTTTCCTACCAAAGCTTTGTATGCACTCCCATTGATCATCTTATATGTAGGCCGTGGTACATGATAATTTATACTGGTAGTTCTTGCTTAAGAAAGTCAACAGGAACATCATGATAACTGAGAACGCCTTAGAGGGTGGCTGTGTTGCTTAACAGTTAACAGCATTTTATATCTGTATCACTCTAGCTCAAGTGGTTAGTTGCTGGCTTTCCACCGCATTGGCCTAGGTTTGATCCCGGGTCTGGTCAAGTGGGATTTGTGGTGGACAAAGTGGTGCTGGGGCAGATTTTCTCCGAGTACTTCGGTTTCCCCGTCAATCTTCATTCCACCAACTGCTCCACAATCACCCTCACCTATCATCTGGGTCTGGTACAATAGGCCAGAAGTGGCCGCAGTACTAGGAACTTAGTCCCACCCACTAGCAATAAAAAAAATACTTAGGAAAATGACAGAATACAGAATAATACAGAACGTTGTATAGGAAGGCTGTGTTCATTGATATTCAATGATAATTTATACTGGCAACTCTTGCTGATGAAAATCACAAGAAAAATCAGGATAACAGAATTATTTGGAGGGATATATTTTTTTTTATCTGCCTCACTTAACAAGAGTAGTGACTTCCAATAATAAAAGCTTTTGTTACAAATTCCTTTTAAAAATACAAGTTTGAAATTAGATTCTTCAAAATTCTAATAATGCATCAGTTCAGAAAAGCGTAATATATGAATATATCTGAGGCACACGAAGCATTATTGGAAAAGGAATTTAAAAGAATGTATTTAGGCCATGTCATAGCTCAGGCGGTTAGTTGCCAGCCTCCCACCGCAGTGGTCAAGGTTCAATCCCATGTCAGGTCATGTGAGACTTGTGGTATGTCATAATGGTGGTATTTATAAAATTAAATGTAACACATTCTAAACATTAGGGGGGTCATCATTAACCATACATTCAACTTACGTTGATTCTTCTTTGTATAAATTTAAATATTTGACAAATCTTTATAGCTCTGGCCCTAATCTAGATGAGTGGAAATGTAGCTTGAATAGCAGTATCAAGATATAAATATAAAACTTCAGGTGAAAATCAACAGTACTTAAAAAACCATAAATAATGCTCTTCCCTTGTATTCTACCATGTCTATCTGCTGGTCAAACGTCAGAAGCAATATCCATGAAGATTTTGATGAAACGTTATGCTAGACAATCTTATTAAGCCATCTTGAGCCATTCTGGACAATCTGGGCCACTGATTTACTGAAAGCCTTCAACTAATTAATTTCATGTAAGTATTTATTTAAGATGTGCCCTATGTCCCTGAAGCTCAGAGCCAAGCAGAGAACATGGATACAATACTATCTACAGTGCATCACTTTCTATTGTTAGGCATGCAATCTCAAAACTGGGACATGGTTACATGGTGTGTGGTGGGACATACTCAGTATGTTACATTATTGGTTAAATAAAAGAATGAATCTGGGAAATATATATTCTTATTCCATTCAAAGACTCCTATGACCCCATCTGTCTTCAAGAAAGGTCACATTTACATATTTATTTCTATCATTATTATTAGACTATGCCTACAATAAGGAATATGACAAATTCTGTATTATATTCATTTTTTATAATACTGGAACAATTTCTGTATCTGTATGTTTTGTGCAATGAACCAGTGATTATTTCCATGCATAGCGTTAACCAGATGATCGGTTTCAGAGAACACACACAGTCTCCATTACATAGACTAACCAATTATATGTATACAGTGGCCGTCTTGTAGTGCACACAATTTCACCTGTCACTTCACAATATGTTTCGGCAACACAGTGCCATCATCAGGTGTCCCAACTACGTCAATCTATTGCATTGCCTGCCTTCATATGTTTTCACCAACCATTTAAAAAGTCCGTGTTTGTCAACTACGATAAATTTACACTCGCTAAAACTTGTTAAGATAATTCACCTTATTTGTCTTAATTAAAACTTGTATGTGTTTCGTTCACTACAGGGTCGTTTTTCTTATTTTCTGTGTAAACCGCGTCTTGTGATGTGTGTTCCCTTCTTAGCTGCGAGTGTTGTAAAATATAACATTATAGACTAACCAATTAATGCTGTACAGAAGAATAACTGATGTTTATTCTGAGTACCATAAGGAACACATAAATACACTGCCTGGTAAAAATACAATTTTTTCTAAATTTCAAACAGAAACATATCTATAATTTCATTGTAATATATTATTACAACCATAATCCTACTTGTAGCCTTTTATAATTGTTCATACAAAAGGACATAAAGCCTGCAGATGGCCATATTTAAGGCTGAAACATGTTGCCAGTGCTGTAGATTTGACACATTGTACATAACTTGGATAAGTGTATGTACAATACTGGTTGTGTTATGTGGAGACAGCATAATATCTATTTCACATGTTGACAAGAGGCATGAAAAATTACACCTCTTACTTTAGAAATGTATGCAGGTTTCCCTTGTTCACAGGCCTTACTTCAAGAACAATTCTATACACGATCAGGAGAGTTATAAAGCTGGTGTAATCGTCAAGTATGTTCCCTCTTTTTATTTCTTTCTTTAGGTTGCTTACTTAATGAGCCTTTCAGCACCATATCAAGACTATATAGTGCTGACAAATATGGAGCATTGGCTGGAATGAGAACTGGCAGGAGAAATCAAAGTACATGGAGAAAATCCAGCCCAATGCCACTTTGTCCATCACAAACCCCACATGACTGGAATGTGGACCAAATCTGAGTCACCTCAGTGGGAAGCCAGTGATTAACTGCCTGAGCTATGGCATGGCCCAGGATGTTCTCAAATGATAACTGACCATGAGAAGAGAAATTCTCAAAATACAAATGAAATTGCTTAATACTTCAGATAACTGTAAATGAAGTAAAACACATTCACAACATTATCCTACAAACCATACTGCTAACAAATGCTTTTACAAAATCAAATAATTCAAGCAAAACCAAACTTAAAAAATCATTATCATTCAAAGTTTTATAATCCCAGAAGAAGCACTATGATGTCTGTATAAAAGCCATGCTCGCATCACTCATGACTGAGCCTGGTATATCAAAACAAACATTAGCTAAATTCAATCTTTTCTTCTAGATATCAGTTTAGAAATAGATTTCTATGACATCATTCCACCAATTCTCAACAAGAAACACGTACAGTGCATTGATGTACAGAACTTAAAACATTTATTAAGGTTGGGGAAGATAAAATAAAAGAGTGCTAAGGGCCATATTTAGTCTAACTTTAATAGCTTTAACGTCTAATATGATTTTGATTCACAAGTCTGTAACGACTGGAGACCACAGTAACAGTTCACACATACAGTGACAATATTCTCAACAGTGTAATGGTAACATATTTTATTGTGCTGAAGACATTCTTTGAATTAAGATTGAAGATGCAAATTAAAATAAAATCACACTGGACTAGTCAATTGACATATTATAATATTCAGGTTTAGTTTCAGTTAGATGAGTGAAGAATACATCAAAAATATTAGAGTATTTGAATAAATGGTCCCTGCAATATTTGAAATTGCTGCATGAAAATAACAATATACTTACATTAGCCACATAATATTATGAATACATTACAAATCATATTATTGTGCTGACTCCATTTGTAAACTGTTTAAAACTAATTTCTGTAAAAGTATACACCTGCAAAGACAATGACTTATAGAATCTAATTATATTAAGCATTAATTAACCCAAGAGAATTAAAACTAAATGCATTGTAGCTGCAAAACCAAACCATTTATGGTTTAGTATATCTGTCAGCACATTTAAATCATGGGATCGCCCATAAATCACCTATGAGGTTCTCCAACATATCCTTCACATACTGAATTCACATTTTCAGCTTCTCAATACAGTTACTATTTCACAACTAATAGTATAGCATAATTCAACGTAATGTAACAGTTTTAATTTGCATTTCAGTACCTCAGTCACTACAAAGAAAGGTATCTTAATGCACTTTCTGGTTGATTGCAATACTTTGGTTATTTAATATAATAAAATAATGTATTATTTCCAAAAGTTTAAATGATATGTATTGAAGGAGCATAAAGTCTTAACTAACAATTTTACTATGCAGTGAACAACTGCTATCTTCATTATGAACATTTCTTTTTACTTATCTTTCAACATTTGCCATATTTACATATTTCAAAGCTGAATACAGTATACAAAGCAGTTACAATTCCATATTCAGTCCCCACTGCTCACACTAATAACCAATTTATAAACACTCTTACAAAATACTTAACTTTCATAGATAATATATTTATCATCTTCAAATTCAGCTTTAAAACATGGCAACTCAATTTATGGACGGCCCCGAATAACATACCGGCACAAGAGTTTTCAATATGGATCCTGATATGATAGAAAGTAAAACATGAAGAAATGAACTTATCAAAAATATAAAAATAATTTTTAAATATATATAAAGAAAGAGAGTAGCAGTATGTTGCAATGGAAAGTTTCCATATGGGATCGCAAGCTACCAATTAGTAATTACTCCAATAACATCATGTTATTTGCATTGTGAGTATAATAACAATATACAATTGGGTACTGTTGGAGAGTGACAATGAAATACATGGTTTATGGTACAGCATTATTACCCCGTCAACAGGCATACATTATCAAATAATATATGGCCCATATACTCAAAACACGTTATATATCATCAGTCATTACTTTCAAGCACATAAAGTATAATACTTTTATAAGAAAGAGATAAAATGGTTATATTTGAAAACTAATTTGAATGAAGAAGTCAATTTATGAAGAGTTCTATCTCCTGGAATATACTGCTGTGCAGGCAGCACTGACTTTCAAAGGACTATACAGCACTATATGTCAGAAGACACAACTCTACACAAGCATCACTGTGAGAATCTTAAATCAGTGTTTATGGTTGCACTGTATTGATGATGATGATGATAGCATATTGCCATCCTTCAAACTGGATTATCATATATTTCTAAGCCGGAAGCTCCAAATGAATAGAAGTTGTTCACAATACAATAATTTTGTCTGAAATGGATCAATGAAGAGTTACCTGTGGGTAGTGTAGTTTCCCACTGAAATTTCAATGGCTTAATGCTAATCATGAAATAAAAGAAAATTATTAAAGACAACAATACTTTTCATTAAGTGGGAAGTATTTTCTCTGCTTACCTTATGAATGATTGTACTTCATTCTTTTTCCATATGCATATTTCATTGTTGACACAGAACATCAACTGAAAGATAATATTTACAATTTTTGAAAGTATCAAAGTCACAAGTATACTTGGATATATTTTTCCACATGCTTTGGATTTAACATCTATAATTAGCATTCACTTGCAGCAATGTATTCGGAAATAAAATTTCCTCTGCTTACCTTCAGTGAATTTTCCAGATGCATATCTGACTGTGCATGAATTACATGTTAGGGATTAGATCTTAAAAATAATGTGTACCTTATGAGTATCTTTATAAACCTAACTTATCCATCTGGGCACATTCAGCTAATAAAAGCAATGAACCAAAGAACAAAGGCTGGAATTCAGACCTTGATTTTGAAGTAATAAAAAAACTTTCATGAAAGCTGCAATGAACTGCAAACTATTATATATAAATACTTTACTGCCCAATATCTTTCACCCTGGGCCACTGGAGCTGCAAAGGACACAAATTTTAAAATTAAACAAATCACCATCTTAATCACATGTTCATGAAAGCTTTGAAATTCTTACGAAATTTACCTGCTTCATTATTGTTGTACACTCCTACCTTGTAAAAACTGAAGCTGTCCCCAAGCCTAATTAGGTGCCATGCCATGAAGACAACTGGGAGAGTGGACATACAGTTCTATGTATACTTTACCCTGGAGAACAGAGCTCCTGGTACCCAATGGATGGGATGCTGGGTGGGACCTAGAGTTGGTCTGGATGCTGTGGAAAAGAGAAAAATATCTTGCCCCTGCTGGTCATCCAGCCCACAGCCTAGTCACTATGCCAACTGAGGCACAGACTGAAATAGACACATTCTGGGGTATATTCTATAATTATACTGTTTAAAACATAATTTAATAATGTAACAATGTGATACTAAAACTTCTATTAATAAAATAAAAAGAGCTGCCTTCACAGGGAAAGAACTCAAATAATGAAAAACTACTAGATAAGAAAACAGAACAAGTAGGTGAACATGTATGAAATTTAAGAAGTCCAGATGTCAAGATATATTTGGAAAATAAAATATTTTTACATATAAATGGATTCAATTACACAAACTCTGGTGAAATAATGCAAAATATCAAATATCTGTCAGTATATTGTGATTCTGTGACAAATAATAATGGGTTCTGGATTGCATGATTGTAATTACTGATGCTTCTATTACAATTACAATCAATTATAACAGTTCACAATCAGTGACTGCCTAAGACTCACTCTATCCCTTACTGGACAAGTGTCTTTTCTTCCATGGTGACTGACTTGGTTCTGATTGAGGATTCGGTCACTTCTTCAGCTGCCATTGTCCACTGGTTAACACTCCACAGATGACATGTGAACTACTGAACTGCCTTTTGAATACTCACACAACTGAATAACTGAACTTTCTGACGAATGAACTCTCCTGAACTGAATGCTCAAATCAATTACATATTCCCCTTTTATAACTTGGAGGTGAACCCAACATAGATCACCATCTTAAATACTTCCTCTGTTATTCTCTGTTTGCCCATTGTTATGAAATGTGTGTTAATTCCAGGGCAACTCTCTGCTTTCTAGCGTATTATTCATTGCTGCAGATATGCGCTATAGTGAGCCATTATCTAGCGATGAACTATTCTGGCTTTTAGGCATCATGTCACAATTTAAATACTCATTAAACCACTGGTAAATAATAAGTCACATATGGACAGTGGGTAACAAAAACAAATGAGGATTAGAAGTGGCAGAAAAGAGAACAATAAATCCTTTATCTGGATACATAAATATATGGTCAGACAAAGAAATACTGACACAGGGTACAAACCTACTGTCAGTAACACAGCTGTATGCACAGTAAAGATGGAACACCCATGGTGATAGATTGTGTGAAGACAGATGACCATAGTTTGGAATCATGGAACTACAGGACAAGGAGTTAGATCAGATCAATGATACACCACAAAGTGGATTTTAAGACTGAGGAAAAAGGTACATTATTCTCAACACAAGAATTCTTAATGTTCACTCCAGTGTTGTTCTTCAGACCACTCAACTGACACACTTTTCAACGGTTTACAATTCAAAAGTAAACAGAACAAGAAAATGCATTCCTGCCATACATAAGGTATCATGCAGGCTGTGACAGCTATCATCCCAAATACAAAGGAATGCTTAAATATTGAATTCTGTGAGAATTATTTCGTCTGTTGCAAACATTCAATGATATATTTTGAAAACTCATTTCAGATACTCTGAAGAAAACAGCAACCCTGACTGAATGAATATAATTTGAGCTTAATTTTAACTCTTTGACTGGCGCGGGCGTGTTTTAACGCCCGGACGATGCCAGCCATTCCCTGGCGTTGGCGTGTTTTAACGCTTTGACAATCTCTTCCCTTCTTTGCTCTCTTGGCACTCATCAACCAAAGACATATATATGATAGTTTTTGTGCATGTTTGTAAAGAACCCTTGTAAACTTTGTGGGGGTCTATATTACTGTCAGAACCCTCTGAGAAGGAAAAGGTCAGAAAATATTTCACATTCATTCAGTTTCACCATGTCTTCTTGCAGCAAGTGTCTTCGTGTTCCTACAGACCAGCTGGAAAATGTTGTGAACGAGATTTGTTCTGATGATGATAGTGGCGATGAAATAATGATTCCTGAATTGGATGAAGTTGATAGTGACAATAATACAGTGATAGACAATGATCCACAAGACAGTAATCATGAACATTTACCTACCACGAGTGCGGTGCCTGACACGCCCATCTCATGAACGTACGGAGACATTGTACCCCCAATATTTCCATTTGCTAATAGTTTCGGGATCAAAATTGATATAACACATAAAATGCATCCCTTTTCATGGATTAAAATTTTTTCTGGATGACGACTTGGTAAATCACATCACAACTGAAACCAATCGCTATGCTCACCAGCACTTCAACACACATGAGTTAGCTCCTCACTCTCGAAAACACAATTACAATTATGTCACATCAGATGAAATCTGGACATACTTAGGAATTGTGTTCATGACAGGAATCGACAAACGCCCTGAAATTGAAGAATATTTGTCCACTAGGCCCCTATTTCACACCCATGGTATGGACAAAACATGTCTTTGCGGTTGAATAGTTTCATTCTATTCAAAAAGAACACAACAAACGAAAAATACAAGAAGAGAAATTACAGATTCAAAGATTTTATATTGGACTGTGTAGAAAAATGACTGAACCAAACAAACAGTGTGGAGAGGGAGAAAAGTCAAGGAATGAAGTGGATGACGAATTTATTGCGTCAGACTAGAGTGCAGTCACGCCTCCGCCCTCGACCTTGAAAAGGCCACCAGTGAAAGAGCCAGTAAATCGTCTAGAGGGTGGCTTGAAAATTCACAAAATGGTCCATGTTCCTCCCAGTAACAATAAGAAGAATGGTGCCCTGAGAAAGTGTCGCGTGAGTGCTAAGCACAAGGTTAGAAAAGAAACAAGTATCATGTGTGCAGGCTGTGGTGTGGCTCTCTGCAAACTTTCATGTTTCAATGTTTATCACACGAAGAAAAACTAATAAAGAGGTATGGAAAGGAATTTATTGCATAATATATTGTATTTTAATTAGTTCCTGAAAATTTCGTTTTTAAAAACCAATTTTTGTTGAAGTTGTTTAGGAAAAAGTAACTACATGCATTTTAGCGACATAAGGTTTAAAGGGCCTGCCAGGACAGGGGTGGGATTTAAATACCCTTCACGCCAGTCAAAGAGTTAATTAAAATCCACGGCATAAATGAAACAACCACAGCAAGATAAAAAGGTAAAGCTATCCCTGCAACAGGCCATGAAGGCCCATAGGGTTGTGAGACACTGAGGCTCCCACATTTTCTCTGGACTATCAGCTCATAGATGGTGGTGAGGTTGTCAGCCTTATGCGCTGGCCACCCTTTACTTCCAGGAAGATCCATGGTACTTATTTCTGTTAGAGGCTGGGTTGACCCCAGGGCCATAGTGCGGCTGGAAAGATAGGTAAATTGAAAAAAATCCAACTAATTGGGACTCAAACCTTCCAGCCTGTAGCACAGTGCCTCAACCAACCACAGTATGTGTGAAGTATATAGATGCCTTCTTTACTGATATTACATTCATTTAAATAGCAAATTAGAAGCACACCATATAGCATTATACTCCCACTGAATATGACCTACCCTACACCTACAAGATATGCAGAAATGGTTTAATATATCTCTCAGGCTATTTCTGTTTAATATAAAATTGTCACTGTTTAATTTTAAAATATTTTCATACATTATACTCTGTGTATTGTGAAGGTAGAACCAAAATACAACAAATACCTGACTAGCCATTTTAAATGTACTGTATGTTTTTGTAATATGCCACACAATGTCTTACCACATACAATGTTACTTATTTTAGAGAACTTGAAATATGTCATACATTAGTAAACACATGAAATGATATTTCCCTACACTAGAATTCTCAATGCAGACAGAGTAAAGTGTCTGGAGATCTTAAAATACATCACTGTGGAACGAGTGAAAACAACTAGAGTAAGACTGTGATAAAAACAGCCTATAAATTAATTAAGTACTCATGGCTAGTGATTTTAGTTTGGGATGAAGTTAGGGAGATTTAAGCTTCTCTAGTGGTGTATATTAAGATTAAGGTCTTCACAGATGTGAAGCCATGTAGTTTGGTGGATAGGTACCAAAAGCTCAGAGGACTCTGCTGCCTCAATCCTCAGCACATAAGACTGTCACAAATCTACCCTGAAGATGCAGGCAGCAGAACCAATATGTTGGAGGAACCTGCTACTTCCATCTTCTGCACAGAAGACTGCCATTCTTCTATGCTGAAGATGAAGGCAGCAGGGTCCTCTAAAATATTGGTCCCTATCTAACAGCACCACCCATAAGACCATAATCATAATGAAATATCATGCTTCATAAGCAATCTTCCTTCTTAGGTAGACTATGCCTGTAATTTGTAGCACAGTAAAACTTAACTGAAGTTACATTAAAAATGAATATCTGATAGAAGGATGGTTCTGTGAACAAAATATATTTATGATTTATAACAGCAGTTTTGAGTCAATGTCTATAATCCTTAATTTTGAAGAAAATAAGGATAAACACTTCTTGATATAAAAGTTCTGAAGCATTAACATCAAACTGTGAAAAACAATGATGTAAACCTATCACTCAAATACTTCCAAATAACACACTAAATTATCTTCCTTTAATTTCCTGTTTCACAAAATAAGTACTTTAAAACAGTACAATGTAAATGGAAGACCTTCAGGGGAAAGCAGCAGTACAGATCTTAATTTTGTTTGTCACATATGAACTGTTCACACTCCTTACCTTGAATTTCTTTACTAAAATGATATACCCTGAAATACAACTGCAGAATCTGGCTAAAGAGAATGCCTTATAACTCCAAAGTTTAGAACAGTTTGAAAGTGACCAGTGTGTGTGCTGCTATCCAAGGAGATGGAGAGCACTTAAGTTGTCTTACACCTCTCCTTTGTCACCTGTTTTTGAGCACCCCACTTCCTTAAGATGAAAAAAGATTACTAATATTATAATATTTCCATAGCAGATTGACACATGAAAGATACTATAATTGTGACCACAAACTAAGCTGGCCTGTATTATAATATGACCCACATGAGGGAGGACAATCAGTCCTGGTGAGAGCAGTGGATTGGAGAACAATCACAT